ATTATATATATATATATATATTTGAAATTTTGAAGATTTATAGAATTCAAGTGCATCGGAATAATAAATCCTATACTGTTAATTAATTTACGACCCGTGAAGCTTTCTCCCCTGCGTCCGCCACACCACAGAGCTCGAATTCCAGTGCGAATATTATCCACGTTTGTTCTTACCTGTGCAACCAAACAGCCCTGGACTCGAGCAATGATCGTGTACATCCACACACACGGTTACGGACGTTGTCGAAAGCCACCAATTCGGACTGGATTAACCCACCGACACGGAACGCGTTCGATGTGGGACCTACACGTGCCCCCGTTTGATGTAATCCGACCTTAAATAAAAAATATTTACTCGTATAAATGCCATTTTAAAATTAATTTCCTAGGCATCTTTGGGTGCTGCGACCACCGATCCAATAAATTCCATTGAGCCAAAATAATTAAAGAATACCCGATTTTATTTGTCACCATTTAGGTCTTTTAAAGAAAACCATTAAAATAACCATTTATTATTTGTTTGGCAATAAACAATAGTAGATATATCCAATCATTAATTAGCGGTGCACATATTTTATTGGCATTTATTTAATTAATAATTAGGATTACAAAAAAATCAAAAGGTTACAAGCGTTTGATTTTGAAATGATACCTATTTGTGGCGTTTTAACGACTAGTATAAACATCTGATACTAAAAGATTAGGAACACTAAAAAGAAACTATACAGATTTTCCTGCATTTATAACCATATATACTAATATTATGATTACAAAATATATAAATAAATAAATAAAGCCATATAAATACAGAACACATTTCAAAATAAATAGGGCTTTCCTCGTCTGTTTGCAGATTGGATTTCTGTGGACAGCCTGATCCTTTTTGTTTTCACGTTAACATGGGTTATAATCGATACTAATTACACACTTTCCCACTAATAAAAAAAGGGGAAAGAAAAATAGTCTTTCAGTGAAATTAATTCTTTCAAGTCTATATAGTCCACGTTGATCCATTTAAATATATACATGACTTTTCTCAAACTCCTGTTAATTGATATATAATTAGTTGCGTACTGTGGTTTTATTTTTTCATCTGTTACAGTTTTTCATTTACAATTTATAAATTCATATAGATCTGAGATTTTTTATTTATTTTATCAGTTATTCGATTTTGGATTCATACTTTTGGAGGAATTATTTTTTTTTTGTTATATATTTTATTGCATTTTGTAAAACGATTTGAGATTTAGTAAATCGAATATAATGAATGACTAATCAGTAGAGAGAGGCTCGACTAGTAATATACTATACTCTTTTTTGCACCGCCAGGATTTAAGTTAGGCATTAATTAGGTCTGGTTTAGTTTAAAATTAAATTAATCGCATTAATTACGGCCGAGTTAATTCTACTACCGGAGTGATGCTTCTGTCTTTTGCTTGAACGCCGTGAGTGACGTGACATTGACAAGGCCTTTTTTTGTGTGTAAATATTCGCGTAATTCTATACTTCCTTCTAAAAAATTATTTATATATTTTATTTCATTTTGTGTGTTTTTTATAAATATCAACATCAAATATGCCAACGAAAAACCAAAAAAAAAAAAAGTTTATATATTTGTTAAAGCATTATTATAAGGGGATGATTTCTTTCAGATTTCACGAGCCTTGTCGAGATTGGATCCATACAAATTCTCTACGACGCGGCTGCTTCACTCTCTCCCACTGTTGAGCTTCCACTCGGAGAGATAGAGATATATATATAGATAGAGAAGAAGAAGAAGAAGAAGGAGAAGAAGGAGTTGCGGTAAGAAACCTATCCGATGAAGGATTCTTGGAAATCGCTCTAATTTTCTGGGGAATTTTCGGATTTAATCGATTGTAAATAGACTACGAATCTTCAGCTCCAAGACCGCCATTGCTGGGGAAAAAAGGTATCGCGCTCTCCTTCCCCACCCCTTTTTTAATCATTCTTGTCTGATTCGCTTCTGCTTTCTCCACTCTCTAGTATCTGTTTTTTTTATTCGATTCGATTTTATTTTTCATTTCTACTGGTTTTGTGGATTGATCCGTCATGGGGTTTTGCCCAATTGATCTGGGTCGTGGTTGGATTTCGATTTCCGCGGTAGACAAAACAAATCCAACGCATATGAAATTTTTGTTGCTGGGTAGTGTTTCTTCGATGTCAAGGAATTATGTTCGTCGAGCTGATTTGATGTTTGGTTTATCTGAAATTCTAGGTGCAGTTCTTACAGTCTCCCAAGAGCAAAGAATGAAATATCTGATCATTTCGTTTTTATCTGAGTTTACGGATCTATCGATGTAAATCGAAGAATGAGCCTTTTTCCTTAGATTTATCACCAGTGACCGAGCTGTTCATATATCGGATCATAATAATACTTCATCTTGTCTATTTCGAGCTTCATTTTTCACTTATTGAAGATTGATTATAGCTTTGCTCAATTTCGAGATTCCAGATTCTAGTTTCTCGGAAACTTCAATCTGGCTTTGCAGGAATCTTAAACGAGCGAAAATGTCGATGCCACTGCACCGTGGCACCTCTGGAATAAGGGTTTCTGGTAGCAGCGATGATTTGTGGGATTCCCAAATGAAGGACAAAACAGAGAAGGGAGATTTGGATCGAAGCCGTTCCATGGACAATACCTTCTTGGCCTTAAGGTTCCCATTTGGTTTCCTCTTCAGTAATCACTCTTCTCCTAAGAACGGAATCAATGAAAACGGGTTTGCATCCGATCCTTATATAAGCGGTACCGCGAGGAGTAGGCACAGATTAATGATGCTTCTTTTGAAGATCAGTTTGGTTGTTATCGTGATTGTTGCTCTTACTGGATCGTTCTGGTGGACGATATCCATTTCCACGTCGTCCAGAGGTCACATATATCACAACTATAGGAGATTACAGGAGCAACTAGTTTCAGACTTGCTAGATATTGGGGAGATTTCTCTTGGTCCTAACAGATGGAAGGAGATGGAATTTTGTTCTGCAGATTCAGAGAATTATGTTCCTTGCTTTAACGTTTCCGAGAATCTTGCTCTTGGGTACTCCAATGGTGATGAATATGATCGGTTTTGTGGGCCTGGATCGAAGGTGGATTGTTTAGTATTACCACCTGCCAATTACCGGATTCCTCTTAGGTGGCCGACTGGTAGAGATGTCATCTGGTTCGCTAATGTTAAGATTACTGCTCAAGAGGTGTTGTCTTCTGGTAGTTTCACCAAGAGGTAAATCAATGTTCTGATTTATGTGGTTATCTCATTGTCTGATTGTACAGTTTGTTGTTCCAGCCTTGTAACGTGTCTGTTGCATTTTGCCAGGATGATGATGATGGAAGACGATCAGATTTCTTTCCGTTCTGCATCTTCAATGTTCGATGGGGTTGAAGATTATTCTCATCAAATTGCTGAAATGATTGGGCTTCCCAACGATAATTTCATAGAAGCTGGTGTAAGTCACTTTTGTTATGTGAATTGGATCCTTTAATCTTTGCATCCCTAATCTGGCCAATGTTTGATGTGGTTCTTTCTTTCCCTGATAAAAAAAGTTTCTGACTTTTATGTTGTTTCAGGTGAGAACTATCTTAGATATCGGATGTGGTTACGGTAGCTTTGGGGCACATCTATTTTCCAAACAACTCTTAACTTTATGCATAGCAAACTACGAAGCCTCGGGTAGCCAGGTTCAGCTAACACTTGAGAGGGGTCTTCCTGCAATGATCGGGTCATTTATCTCGAAGCAATTGCCATATCCTTCACTATCGTTTGACATGTTGCATTGTGCAAGATGTGGAATTGATTGGGACCAGAAAGGTACTAGCTTTAGAAACCCCATCAACACAATGCTCTTGCAATTTACTTGAACATAGGATCCTGATTTTCTAACATGATAATCCATCTTTGCAGATGGGCTTCTCTTGATTGAAGCTGATAGAGTTCTGAAGCCCGGAGGCTACTTCGTCTGGACATCACCCCTCACAAATGCCCGTAACAAAGAGAATCTAAAAAGATGGAACTTTGTTCATGATTTTGCTGAGAGCCTTTGTTGGGATCTTTTATCTCAGCAAGATGAGACCGTTGTTTGGAAGAAGACGAGCAAAACCAACTGCTATAGTTCCCGGTCAGCGAAATTCACTTAGTTCTCTGTTATTCAAGATGATGCATATGGATATATGGACATGGCATGAATCTTAAAACTTTATGTTTTCTGACCCGAATACTCAATGTACACAGGAAGCCCGGTGTAGGACCTTCAATCTGTAGCAAAGGACAGGATGTTGAATCTCCATATTACCGGCCACTTCAGAGATGCATAGGTGGGACCCGTAGCCGGAGGTGGGTTCGGGTTGAAGCCAGGAAAACATGGCCTGGCAGGGCTAACCTGAACAAGACCGAACTTTCACTATATGGTTAGTCTCATTAGTTATCTTTGGATAAAATTTCACAATAGAGGAAATCTAATGTAAAATGATAAACTAAAGATTTTGTAATCAGACTATAGAATTCACAAAAAAAAAAAAAAATCTGTTTATTAGTGATTTTCAGCTAACAACCGGTGACAGATTTTGTTTTCTAAAAGAACAAGGTTTTACGTTTTGAGGAAAAAAAAGAACCTTTCACATAGAGGAGACAAAAGGGTGTTCTTCTGATCTGGTTTTGCAATATCAGATGATAGTAAAGCTATGTCAGGATTCATGTGGAACAGGGCATCAGATTCTGCAATGAAGTTATATGTGCCAATGTAATCGATTTCGTTTGCTTATCAGTGATTCGAATCTGTCGTTCATGATCATAACACGGTTGGGAATTTGAATGAGAAGTTATTTTCTTCATGATTGGCCGCCTCTTACATGTATCGCCTTTGGCAAAATCTTGCATCGAATTTTAGTTTCTGGCTTTGAAATGCTGCAGGTATTCACCCTGAAGATTTTGGCGAGGACAACGAAAGCTGGAGAATGACGGCACGGGAGTACTGGTCGCTGTTGTCACCTCTCATATTCTCGGATCATCCAAAAAGACCGGGTGATGAAGATCCTTTGCCACCTTATAATATGCTCAGAAACGTTCTCGACATGAACGCTCAGTTCGGAGGGTTCAATTCCGCATTGTTGGAAGCAGGAAAATCCGTGTGGGTAATGAATGTCGTGCCCATTCTCGGATCCAACCACCTTCCCATGATTCTCGACCGTGGCTTTGTCGGGGTTTTACACGACTGGTGAGTCACGGGTGTGAAGCATTCCCGACATACCCCAGCACCGATCGTATCGTCTGAAACGTTATCCGAATGTATTTTTCAGGTGTGAAGCATTCCCGACATACCCCAGAACATACGATATGGTACATGCAGACGGGCTTCTGTCGCTTCAGACAGGTCAGGCTCGTAGCAGATGCTCACTCATGGATATTTTCATGGAAATCGATCGGTTACTTCGCCCGGAGGTAAATATTCTTTCACATGGAATTCTGTAGAAAAAAGGAATGGTATGAAAATTGAAAGTTTTTGGGAATAGGGATGGGTGATAATAAGAGACACGGCGAAGCTGATAGAGACAGCGAGAAGCATGACGACACAGATGAAGTGGGAAGCTCGAGTTATAGAGATCGAAAGCAGCAGCGAACAAAGGCTTCTCTTCTGTCAGAAACCCTTCACCAGGCGACAATGAAACCTTATCCGACGAATGATCTTCGAACATGTTTTGTCTCTCACACGGCAGAGAAGACGGTGAAGAAGAAGAAGAAAGAGGAACTTTCCTGCCGAGGCCGTAAGGCAGTAGGTGGGGAGGCGGGGCGTCCGGGTAAATTTATTATTACCCGGACTTTATTTCACAGATTTAGATTTTTTTCTTAATTTTCGTTGGGGTTTTTTTGGGTTCTTTTTTTTTACCGGTTTATTTATACAGCGAAGAACAATATTCAGATTTGTGAAGATGTTTACGAAATAAGTTTAAAAAAAAGTTATGTCGAGTTTTTTCGGTATCAGAATACGAGATATAATAAGTAAATTCCGAACATTTATCGGAGTAATGCAAAATATTCATGGTATGAAGTGGGCGTATGTAAATTTACACTTTGTCGAATAATCTTCCTACGTTTTTCTATATATTTATTTATACAGAAAAAATAAAAAAGAGGGACGAAAGGTTAACTTAGAAGTAACAATTAAAAGTCACACTTTGATCACCAGAAGACACCAAACACAACTTCAAACTGTCTCAGGCAACGGAACGGGAACATGATCTTTTTCAGCAACCCATAAAACACCTGACCCATCACCTAATGTAACGCAGTTTTCTTCAGCTGATGCCGACTTCGGTTCTTCGTCCCCTTGTGTTTATGGACGCTCGGTGAAGAGCTCGAACCACCTGAGCCGCTGACTCGCTTGCCCGACCTTCTGTGACGGTGCAGAGAGCTACTACCGTTTGAGCCACCGCCCAAAGCGGCTCCC